GGAATTCTTCCTGAATTTGTACGGTAGATTTGAGACATTTAGTTTTTTTTTTTAATTATAGAATTTAATAATGCAAGAAAAAATGACACAATTTATTAGAAAAAATACGGATGAACAATTTTTTCAAACACCAATCAGTATTTCGAATGACAAATCCTAAAAAAATTTAGAATAACAAATCCAAATCTGGCATTAAATTTCTTGGCATTTAAGAATCTTCTATTTTAATAGAACAAATATGGTAATTTCATTTTGGCTTTAAAAAAAATTATTGGCATTTTGGAATGACAAATCCAAATCTGGCGTTAAATTTCTTGGCATTTAAGAATCTTCTATTTTAATATGAACAAATATGGTAATTTCATTCTGGCTCTAAAAAAAAAAAAATCTTGGCATTTTAGAATTATGGTTCGATAGAACAAATAGATAACCAATAAGATAACAAGTATTCTAGAATCTATTTTAATTTCCTTTTTTGGAACCAAAGCTAATCGGTATTTCTTTTTTGGAACCAAAGCTAATCGGTATTCCTTTTTTTGGAACCAAAGCTAATCGGTATTCCTTTTTTGGAACCAAAGCAAAAATCGGTATTCCTTTTTGAACCTAGACAAAATGGTATCTTCTCATTGGTCAGGAAAAATGTTTTAGCGAACCTAGACATTTTTGTGCAGCGAGCCTAGACACTTTCGAGCAATCTGATTGGTCAATTTTCCAACCTAGACATTTTTTAAACAATCTGATTGGCCAGAGATACCGTTGACCAATGAGAAGATACTGTTTTGTCTAACCTAGACAAAATTGAAAATTACTTTTTCTTGTTGGTGTAACCTAGTCACTTTTTTAACCATTCAAATCATTAGCTTTGGCCAATGAGAAGATACCGTTTTGTCTAACCTAGACAAAATTGAAAATTACTTTTTCTTGTTGGTCACTTTTTTAACCATTCAAATCATTAGCTTCGGCATTCCACAGGTAATAGTGAAAACGTTGTTTTCTACCTGCGGAATGCTTTTAAATTGTAAAAAAAAAGGTCAAATTTAATAAAAACGTTTTTTGTAAAAAGTTAGAAAAAAGCCGTCAAAGCAAAAATCGTGTTTTATGATAAATTTTATTATGCGAATCGACTTTGAGTCAATAATAAAAGTTGTTCGTCTAACAAAAAAACTTATAGTTTGTTAGAACGAATTTGTACATTTCTCTAATAAAATTTTTAAGTATGAGCTAAATACGATCGTTGCGAATCTGTACAATAAGGATCTGCAAAGAAAGAAATGAAACGAAAAAAGAAATCGTTGTATCTCGATGAATATCGATCCAATCGTTCTAAAAATTTACAAGCTAATAGAATAAATATTTCTCTACAAATTTAGTTAGAAATATAAAGCATGTTTAGAAATGAGAAAATTAATTCGGATAAAAAGTTTTTTTAAGGATGTGACAAATATGATTTTTAAATTCCTTTTTTGGAAACTGGCGGTGTGGTTATCGATCAGTTTGGCGACATTTAAAAGTCACCATCTAATTGATGGCGACATTTTGTTTTTATCATGTGTTTTCTAAAGTTTCTATTGGTTAATACAATGTCTATATGAAATCTGATTGGCTGGTGTGGTAAGCCGCAGTTGAACAAATGTCACCATCTAAAAAAAGAATTATAGAGGGTACTAAATAAGGAAATTTTCTATGTCAATCATTTTGTATTTGCATAATGAGTAATGTGTAGTCTTTCCGTAATACTCATACGGAAAGACTACGCATTAGGTGCAAACAAAGCATAAAAATATATTTATTTCTTAATTTCAATTATTTTAACTGATTTAATATAATTCGAACAAGTTCAAAACTAATAAAATTAATTTGTTTTTATAATTTATATTTTTAGCTTTTGGAAAAAATTAGATCTTTGCGGGGTACTTTGACTAACAAAATTAAATCTTCTACATTTTTTGTATTTGGGAATCTTTTAGAACCAATAAATACGAAAGCATCACCTGAGACGGTTCTAAAATAGAAAAAATCCGAACAGACCAAAGCATGTTATAAGCGGCTATTTGATGAGGTAGAAAAAAATTCTGATGAGACCTATAT